CAAACGTGCATCGAAGCAAAATAGCGGGAGGACAAACAATGTCATGTATCTTTATTGCCTCAAACGGGCTAGAAGAAACGTTTCAGACAATCTATTGTATGGCCTTCATGTAATATCTTGCACAAAAAAGTAGTATCTTATTATATATAACATCTCATTTCATATTAAAGTAATTTATAATTTGTTCAAATTAAATGACATTATGTATATATTTCTATAGAATGTATACTAGCTCTTTGAAAAAAAGGGTATTACCTAAAAAGTCATGCATTTAGCCTCAGGCTTGACTAGTTGAGTCGAGCCAAGTAGATTACGCCCCTAGGGCAGTCATGTATGTTTCTTCAAATCAAACCCTCTTCGAAGGACAAAAATCCATTCATATTACACTTGCAAGTGACCGAATCCACTCTCTAAGCTAAATACCCTTTAACTTAGAGAGTAGGAGACAAATTGTATGGGCCAAAAATCGTATTGGACCAAAAATCGTATTGGACCTTACAAGGTCCAATAACGAAATAAACATGTTGCGGCCCAATGCCTTAACTCAATTTTGATTGGGTCTACGCTTAATCCATCTCACTATTTTAAAACTTGGCCTGGCCCGACCTGTTTAACCGGAACCTGGGAGCTTCACCGGGCCAGGTTAACATTTTTCCTATTCACCCAAAACCCTAGAATTTGGGATGATTATCAATGAACAATTGAAGGCTAGGATGTTGGGGCTTTTGAAGAGGAAGTGTTGATGAGTGCAATGGTGGTGACAAAGTTGATTTCCGATGAGTGAATTGATCAGAAATAAAAAAAAAATGGCGGTGGCAACAATCGGCTTTTGCCAATGATTGGCGAGGCTAATAAGGGTGGGGTGAGGGGGTTTTGGTCGAGAGGAGGAGGGGAGTATTTTTGGGGTGATGGTGGAGGTTGTTGATGTAATAGCTTCTTTCTTTACATTCTTATGCATATGTAAATATATGCATGTGGATGACTCATGCTCATAATTCTTTCTTAAACCATCCATGATTGGAGTAAAACTCCCTTGAATCATCACAAATCCTGGCTAGGAAAATACACTTCAAATATTCTACTCAAATTCTTTCTAAATTCAACCAAACTTCACTTGGTCACCATTATACCAACTCCACTTCTCATGGCTTAAATCTACTCATCAAAAGCCATATACTTAACAATAGTATGATTCTCAACAATCAATTTCAAACTCATAGCATATCCATGCATATCAACACATTTGCTCACTTCAATCTTAGCTTAGGTTGGATTTACTTTCCTTTTGCTTGAGTAGTTCCACAAAAGCTCTCAATCTTTGTGTGTTCTTTCTCTCAAACCTTGAGCATAAACTCTATAAGAATTCAACACTTGTACAAAATTAATCTCATAACTAGAGCAAGAATCCTTACCTTTTGATGCTTAGGATCAAATCCCTATCAAAATCCAACCAAAAGCCCTCAATTTCCTTAGCAAATTGGATGAAGAGATGAGAGAAATGGAGAGTGGAAGTAGTGTATGGGGTGGAGAGAATGGGAGGGTTTATGAGACTAAGCCCTTAGTAGCTCATATAAATAAACATCCTTTCCTATTTTGCCCTTACACTTTCTTGCAAATTCCATCTTTGCCCTTTAATTCTTTACAAATATACCCCCATCTCCAATGCATTCTCCATAAAATTTCTTATATTTCACTCCCCACTTTTCCTGCTAATTAGGGGTAGAATGGTCACTTTACCCCTATGAAAAATTCCTCTAGAAACTTCACAAGAAAATCAGTCGACTCTTCGCCCTAGTGAAGATTTTTCTTTGCCTCGGCGAAAAAATACAGAACATACGTTGCTACGGCAAGGCTTATTCTTCGCCCCAGCGAAGTCTATAAGTCCCTAATTCGCCAAGTCTTCACCAAATTCAGGGCAACCACACAACAATATCACCATACCAATTTAACTAAGGGCCAACAAACAACATTTAAAGGCAAATAAACATGAATAAGCTATATACCTCAAAGTGGGTGTTACAATCAATGCCAGCGTCGGTGAGATCTTGAGTAGATTTTTAGCGAAATGGGCTCAAGGGATGATTGGGATTGCATTTGGGGTGTCACCACCGCCAACCACTCACCGGCCAATTTGTATTTGGGGTGTGTTTGTTAAATTTCAAGGCTATAGAGACTTAACTGTAATTTTTAGGTTTGTATTTGCTGAATTTTAAAGTTTTTGTCACCCGGTTTGACCGATCAGTCAAACTAGTTAAATAGGTCAACCCAAGACCAGTCAACTTTGCGGGTTTTGCCTCGGTTTGGGTTTTAAAATATTGATTTATCTTGTGAACTGACCACTCTATAAGTTGGGCTATACTGCGAGTTAAGCTCAATCGGGTTCTAGCCCATTAGCCCACATTCATCCCAAATTAGGAATCAGAATCCTATTTACTTTCCACTTTAGTCAAGATCCAGAATCTTACTTGAAGTGGTAACCCTAATCCGATAAAAGCAAGTCTCAAAACTTCCTTCCTAATCGGAACTCTTCTACCAAATAGGACTCAGAGTCCTACTAGGACTCCAAACTACTTAGTTCACCATATAATCAGGGGCAAACCATCTCATTATTCATTTAGAAATCACTCATAGGTTTAGCTTCTAAATTCTTACTCTCAAGAATCATTGTTTTCCCCTGCTATAAAGATTAGTTCTGACTAACTTTACCATCTTCAACGTAAAGTTGTGCTCCGGTCACTTTGTGTTAGTCTGGCCCTAGCGGCATTATAACAGTAAACCTTTCTTGCTCTCAACCCTTACTAAAATACCTTCAACTTCGCTACAACTTCGCTAACTTGAGCATCAGAGTGCCTATGACAGACACCACACTGGTGTCACCTAAGCCTTCACGTTCTTTTTGTCTTTTTGTGCAGGTCTATCAGATTACTAATGGCTCGCTTCTCACAAGATTCGTCCCTTTCGAATCAACTATAGATTTTACCGTTTACACATATTCATAGTCTTGAGAAAATTATATTAGGATGTCTTGATTAGAGAATTTTTGATAATTTGATATGAATAATTTATATACGTGTGGGAAAGAATGAAATGATCTATGTATATGAATCAATTCAACTGAGAATAATATTAGTAGGATTGTTGTTTCATTTGATATATGATTTCACTTGGTAATTCTCTTCCATAATATTAGCAATATTTAACCCCTAAGAGGTTGGTCTGACGATCGAGAAGGTTTGCTCCCTTCATTAATTTATTGGGTTCAAACCATCTTGGGGCCATTTATCATATTTCTTTAGAATATTAGGCTTATAGGGTATTTAATAGACCTCAGAGATCAGTTAAAGTGTACGCAAGCTGATTTGGACACCCCGTTATTATAAAAAAAAAAAAAAAAAAAAATGGTTAGCCACATTAGCTCTAAATAGAGGTGGAGCTTAGGTACACCAAAAGAAAAGTTGCCAAGAGGAGTAGGTTAATACGATGGACCCATCACCTGATCTGCCACATGTAAAGACAACACGTGACGACAAATTTGATAATCCAATTTTGAATCATTTCATTTATCCAATATCTACCATATATGCCAATTTTAATAGGTACAATTTATATTCAAATTATGCATGAGTGCTACTGCTACTGCATATAATAATATAGGTATATATACTCATATCAAAAGGTTGAGATTGCGACCTTTGCCCTTCCACTTGATGCTCTAAGTGAGTGGCGCCGCTTGAATTATTACTATTTTATTCCACTTCTAGTATTGCGTACCACAAAAGGAATAAATAATCTCTCCCATTAATTTTATAAACTTTTGGAACCAATCACAGCATGGGTCGATTTCAATATTAATATTTATTATATAGTTTTTAGGTTGTTAATTACAGTGGGATGAATTATTTTAAGGTTTTAAGAAGATTATGATTTGCAGGGTTCCAGGGATTTTATTAGCATAAAACATGCAATGTTATTTGGATGATTCTGCATGGAGTAGCGTCATTAAGTTTAGATTAACTGATTAATATTATTGTGATTCTATATTTATAATTTAATGAAATAGCCCAGCAATTAAACTGGATTTTCCAATCAGTGAATAATTCCTCTCACAATGTGGCCTCCAACCTATGTCGTCGGCAAAAGAATTTTGAAAGAAGAATACAACAAATCAGAAGCTGGGTGTCACTTTTCATCCAGCTTCATGGGAAAATTCTGCAGTAAATTAATTTATCATAAAGGAAAAAAGAAGTGAGACATTTACATCTGGTAGTCTGACATGGCAGAAGCTGAGATATATCTAAATTCTAATGGAGGAAATAATAATAAGAATGCTGCAGGGGAAATGTACATATAAGGTCAAACTCTACTGTAATTCGCTTTACAGGATGCTACGGGAAAGAGAAAGAGGAAAGATAGAATTTACAAAAAAAATGCTTAAAGACATCCCCCACTTTGTTAGTGCAACTTATAATTGTTGTTATTTATATTCTACGGTGGAAAGTTATGTGGGGACTATTTATTCCATACACCTCAAAATCAATTTGATTTTCTTTTCATTATATATTACATCCTGGATCCTCCTCTATCAACATCCATCACATGAGCTGTATGTATCTTCACTATTAACCTTTTAATTCTTTCTAATTATTCATAATTAATCTTATTACCATATTATACAAATAGAATTATAATTAATCTCATGATTTTGATATTTTTGAGATGACATAGGCATTGCATCATGATTGGTAGATAAGGATGATGACAAATACCTAAATTTCTTTATACTTAATAATTAGGGTTTAATGGCACATGCATGGGTACAATGGTAATTATACAATGGTAGAATGCCATCATCATCATCATCATCATTATCATATTGTTCATAACAGTTCAAATACTAAACAGTAGAACTGGAATCTCAGTCTCTCAATAACATCACTTCTCAGCAACGACAACAATAATATAATCTATTTTTCTAATATAATCAAAATCAAAATTCACAATTCACAAAACCTTCTTTCTCATCAACATTACAAAATTACAGCTTTCATCATCATCATCAGCATCAATTTCTGGATAATTGTGACTCAAGATTCAATAATTCAATATCATCATCGCTAACCACGTACCATTTTGAAGCCATAATATGGAAAGAGTTTTAACATCGATATTATTTTTAATTTCTCTATGCCTCTATATATACACCAAAAAGGAGAGAAAGGATAGAAATTACAGGAACAAAGGAGATTTTTGAGAACCCTTTTGGATATTGAATCTATTATAAAATGAATCATAAGAAGTTGTAGAAGAAGAAGAAGAAGAATGGAGATTTGAAACCTGCTGATGTTGATATTAAACATCACTAGGTGACTCAGATATGCTCTCTAAATGAGGTCTCCACACGCCAACACGGCCTCTTCTTCGATCCCTCTGCGTCGATATTTTTTCAGATAGTATCTCACTCAAGTACTGATCAGATACAAGAAGATTCGTGGTCGTCATAGAAATATTGTTGCTTGTATTATTATTATTTTGGGACTCTCTTCTTTTCTTCTTGGAGGAGGACTTTGATCGAGTTTTTTCAGGCGCTGAAGGTACAGGAATGAGAAAATAAATCTTTCCACGTTGAAGCTCAGCATCCGGCGGGACAATAACGATCTTCGGAACAACCCCGTCATCGGAGGGCGAAGAGGGTTTCTTAAGGACGTGTTTTGGATGAGCCTTCATGATCTCGCTCGCTCTGATTGTGCCACTGATTTCTTCCACGCGGCCATTAGAGTGAACTATTCGAATCACGTCAAGAGCTCCACAGGGTAGAATGCAAGAGATACAACACCTGATCGTGTTCTTCATGGCGCTCTTTTCTCTCTCTCTAAAGGTCTCTCATATAGAGAGAGGGAAAGAGAGAGAAGAGAAGAGGAGAAGAAAAGAGAATACTAAGAAGAGAAAGAGAAAGAGAGAAAGTCTCTTTTCTTTTGAGTTTTGGGTAGATAGGTATTTCAAGTGAGAATTCTCTTTTGGTACCAAATGATGATTTTATTATAAGTTCTTTTGCTCTTTGCTTTTTTATTTATTTATGCGTGTGGGGAGAAGAATTTTTACGATCTTTGCTTAGGAAGAAATTCATGGCATGAATAATTGCACCTCACTTGTGTACTTTGCCTTTTGGATCCATCATTCAGGTCCCTCCTCCGTCTCCCTTCCCCTTCCCCTTCACTAATTTCAATAATTTGGGTTGGTTTGGGAGAATTATGGGTGACACATGTTATTGCATGATTGGAACTGTCAAGTAAGCAAAAAAACATATACAAGACCCTCTTGAAGAGGGGGTGACTTTGTACACGTGCTTCAATCATAGATTGACATGTGTCAAAATGGGGCCAAATAAGCCAGCAAGATTAGGTAAAGGAGGGCATGATTGTGGGTCAATTGATGAATAATAAGAAGAATGGAATGGGTTTATCGTTTAGAGATGTGAATTGGGAATTGGGTGAAAATGGGGTATGGAGAAATCTTCTTTTGAGGGGTGTTTGTGATCTTTCAATTTTCAATATCCCCAAGCAAGATCATATAGTGTTGTGACTTTCATTGGAAAGTGAGGTGTGACATAGACTTCCTTTTACTTTATCTCTTCTGGTTTTAGGTTTTAACAAGTGCTTTGACTCAAAGTGATCGCACTTGTCTACTTACCTTCTTTTGCTTCAAATTGAATGAATTCTCAATTCTCTAACCCTAACTTGAAGCACTTGCACATTTTAGACAAATGAAAACAAGTAAACCATTTTTTNCACGTCAAGAGCTCCACAGGGTAGAATGCAAGAGATACAACACCTGATCGTGTTCTTCATGGCGCTCTTTTCTCTCTCTCTAAAGGTCTCTCATATAGAGAGAGGGAAAGAGAGAGAAGAGAAGAGGAGAAGAAAAGAGAATACGAAGAAGAGAAAGAGAAAGAGAGAAAGTCTCTTTTCTTTTGAGTTTTGGGTAGATAGGTATTTCAAGTGAGAATTCTCTTTTGGTACCAAATGATGATTTTATTATAAGTTCTTTTGCTCTTTGCTTTTTTATTTATTTATGCGTGTGGGGAGAAGAATTTTTACGATCTTTGCTTAGGAAGAAATTCATGGCATGAATAATTGCACCTCACTTGTGTACTTTGCCTTTTGGATCCATCATTCAGGTCCCTCCTCCGTCTCCCTTCCCCTTCCCCTTCACTAATTTCAATAATTTGGGTTGGTTTGGGAGAATTATGGGTGACACATGTTATTGCATGATTGGAACTGTCAAGTAAGCAAAAAAACATATACAAGACCCTCTTGAAGAGGGGGTGACTTTGTACACGTGCTTCAATCATAGATTGACATGTGTCAAAATGGGGCCAAATAAGCCAGCAAGATTAGGTAAAGGAGGGCATGATTGTGGGTCAATTGATGAATAATAAGAAGAATGGAATGGGTTTATCGTTTAGAGATGTGAATTGGGAATTGGGTGAAAATGGGGTATGGAGAAATCTTCTTTTGAGGGGTGTTTGTGATCTTTCAATTTTCAATATCCCCAAGCAAGATCATATAGTGTTGTGACTTTCATTGGAAAGTGAGGTGTGACGTAGACTTCCTTTTACTTTATCTCTTCTGGTTTTAGGTTTTAACAAGTGCTTTGACTCAAAGTGATCGCACTTGTCTACTTACCTTCTTTTGCTTCAAATTGAATGAATTCTCAATTCTCTAACCCTAACTTGAAGCACTTGCACATGTTAGACAAATGAAAACAAGTAAACCATTTTTTCCCACCCAAGTAATGACTTAATGACACTTTCTTATCCACAAACTTTTAAAATATTATTTTATTACTCAAATTTATATTCTGTTTTCGATTCTAGTATTGTTATGACCCAACACCACCACCATTCTCTTCTCCGGTCATCATTCATCAAAACCCTTCAAACCCTACTCCAGCTAACCCTGTTGATCACCGAAAATTGAACAATTAGGGTTTGCATAACTGTTCTTCCCAAGTTAAATTTCAATCAATCACATCCATCAAAATCTAACATTCTGCTACCAAAAGACTCATTGTCCTTCACTCTTCAAAAGCCTCAACAGTCTGGATTGAGTTTGCTCTCTGTTCACCACTGGAATATAAATTTGGATAATAAAAATGGTATTTTGAAAGTCTATGGGTGAAAAATTATTATTAAACTATTATTTAGGTGATAAAAAAGTCGTTAACTCAATCAAAATCCTTCAAACACTTGAACACTACCTAAATTTTCTTAAAATTTCATTTCACTTTTGCAAAGTAAATGATAAAATTCAAAAGTAGGATGATTAGACCAAGAGAAATTCTTCATGTTGATCTCTTGAAGAAGATCTTGATTGGTTGATTTGATGGGTATTGACAAATTAAAGAGCCCATATTAAGTTTTTATTTTTATTTATTTATTTCTATAAGAAAAGAGGGTAGTTAAAAACTGTTTAAGTAGTTTGATTGCTAGTTTAATTTGAGTAATGTCCCATCCATAATATGGCCCGCCCATTTAATGGTTGTGATGTAGATGTTAGTGGGCAACATGTGAAGTATGGAGATGGAGGGTCCATATGTGGGTTATTTTTTTTTTTTTTTCTTTTTTTAGTCGTGGTGGTCGTCTTAATTTAACTTATGTTTATTTTAATTAATTTATTAATTTTTAAAGTTTATTGGACACTTTATAAACTTAAATAGTCAAATAAACCATAATGTTATTATGATGAATAGTCTCAAGATTTGAACTCAGAAATTTAAAGAAAAAAGTAGATTTCCTTGATTACCCGATCAACCGTTTTTTGGTTGGAGTTTTGATTTTCTATTTCTTTCTTTCTTCTCTAAATTACAAAATTCTATCAACTTTGAATGTTGATTCATCTATTAACCTAACCTTTTATTATCTGTACAATGTTCAATCTTCATAAAAACAGAATCAAAACAATCACGTGTGTGATTGGACAAATGAATTCATCACCACACTGTGGGTGAAAAATAATAACAATAATGGAAATGGAAATGGAAATGGAAAAAGAAAAGGTGAAAGGATATTAATGAGGGTGATTGAGAAGGGTCCAAAATATGGCCAGCTTGAATCCAACCGAATTCTAAAAATGCGGGTTATGTGTGTTTTAGTGCCCCCACAAGTTGAGTACAAGTATTTATAAAATCTCTTTAGAAAGCCAATTATTATGGCAACCCAAACCCATTCTGCCCGTTTGCTTTTATTTCTGTCAATTTCTTCTACTGTACAAATACAAAATCCCTTTTATGCCCACTGAAGAAGTTTAGATTAGATTAGATATTGAAGCAAATTGGCATTTCCTGTAACTTAGTTCTATCATATCTTCCCATTTAGATACAGAGTTATTAATGGCAAAGAAAGCAACATTAACCCAAAACAATAATTTAAATAATTGAATGATAATTTATAATTTCCGGTAAACCTGAGCTTGAATTGGACTGAGAATTCTTAATCTTCTTTAAAGCCCACTAAATGTCGTGGGCTTCAACTCTTCAAATGGGCCACAGTCACCACCACTTGTTGTTAGGCCTAAAATTTCTTGCTAACTATACTAAGTTTAGAACTCATTTTCTCTTAACTTTATACGAAAAGTTAGATTAAAGCTAACGAGATTGTGTTTTTAGGTCAAAATGTGACTTTGTTAGTTGAAGTTGTTATATACGAAAATATGATGTTAGAGTTAGAATGTGTTTTGTATGTTGAAAAAGAGGGTGTATGTATAATTAATATAGAGAAGAACTGAGTCCAACTAATATTGTTAAAAGGCGTGTAAACAGTGAAAAACTCCATTTACCATAATCCTTTTCCCTCGATGAAATCGAAATCAACTTACCCCAAAATAGATCCTTATTGAAAATCGAAAAAGTCAATCAACTCAACTCAATTTAATCCAATCCAAACCAAACTCAACCATGCCCGTCTTCAAAACTCCCTTCAATGGCTACTCGGTCAAATTCTCTCCCTTCTACGAGTCCCGCCTCGCCGTCGCCACGGCCCAGAACTTTGGTATCCTTGGCAACGGCCGTCTCCACGTACTCGACCTTTCTCCCACCTCTCCCACTCTCTCTGAAATCGTGGCATTCGACACTGCCGACGGCGTTTACGACGTCGCCTGGTCCGAATCTCACGACTCCCTACTAATCGCCGCCGTCGCCGACGGCTCCGTCAAAATCTACGACACCGCCCTCCCACCTGCCGCCAACCCCATCCGCTCACTCCAGGAACACACTCGCGAGGTCCACTCTGCCGATTACAACCCTACGCGCCGCGACTCATTCTTAACCTCCTCCTGGGACGACACTGTCAAACTCTGGACCGTTGACCGTCCAACCAGCGTCCGTACTTTTAAAGAACACGCGTATTGCGTGTATAACGCCGCGTGGAACCCACGCCACAGTGACGTGTTTTGTTCCGCGAGTGGGGACTGCACGCTTCGTATTTGGGACGTGAGAGAGATGGGGAGTACAATGATTATACCGGCTCACGAGTTTGAGATTCTGGCGTGTGATTGGAACAAGTACGATGATTGTTTGCTGGCGAGTGCGTCAGTCGATAAAAGCATTAAAATTTGGGACGTCAGGAGTTACAGAGTGCCCATAGCTATTTTGAACGGGCACGGCTATGCGGTTCGTAAAGTGAAGTTTTCGCCGCACCGGAGGAACTTGTTGGCGTCCTGTTCGTACGATATGAGTGTGTGTTTGTGGGACTTTATGGTGGAAGATTCTTTGGTGGGGAGACATGATCATCATACTGAGTTTGCTGTTGGGGTTGATATGAGTGTGCTTGTTGAGGGCTTGTTGGCGAGTACTGGCTGGGATGAGCTCGTTTATGTGTGGCAACAAGGAATGGACCCGAGAGCGGTTTGAATCAAACGAGAATACTTGTTTTTGTTTTTGTTTTTTGATTTTGGTTTTGTTATACATTAACATACTTTTATAAACATGTTGAATGTGATGCTTAATTGGAGGTTAGCAATTGGACCTCAGTAAATTGTGATATATATATATATATATATGAAACAAACAAATTGCAGCGCTCTTGTTGAAGTGAATAAACCTTGATGTCATAACTTTGTTTAATGTTGAATGACTTGTAGTTGTAGATTCTCAAGTTCCAAAGTCTAAATTGTCAATGCCAGGTACAAGAAGTGAGTTGGATTTTTTTGTTATTAGTTTCTTGTTTAATAATACAAATTTATTATGGGTTCATACACTAGTTTCTTATGCAGAATGGGGTTTCTTATTGTGTGACTTTCGGCTGTTGTATGTATGCTACAGAACATTTGTAACTTGTAAGTTCTACCTGAAACCTGCTTTTATACCTTGTATTGAGTCTTGAGAAATAATGGTTTGTTTGATAAACTGCAACCACCAAATCATTGTCAAACTTTAACATGAATGCAGCGTATAGAGCTCCAATTAGTTGCCGAGTTTTTTGCTATTTATTTGTCATAGAGCTGTGAATTTCAGTTCCTGGTTCTTTAGTTGAAAGAATTTCAAGTTTGAGAGATTGAAGCATACAAAAACCTAGTTGTTTGTTAAGTACTCTTCTTATTATAATTATTTGACTTATGTTGGTTGTCCTAAATGTTCAATTCTGGTTTGGTTTGGACACATTTAGCCGTGTATAAAGTACCTATTAGGGTAAACAATGTTAAGGTTTGTACAGTTTTGGGGTCTTTTTAGCTAATCATAAATGATTGGATGTGTTCTACTTTTGAATAGCCTTTCATGGTGAAAAGAAGACTTGCTCTTTGACTGTTTTGGGGTCTCCCTTCCCTGGGTTCTTTAGGGTTGGCATACTGCTGGTAAACAATAGTGCTGCCCCCAATTTCATCAATTTCTAGGCAATGAAATGCTGATATGGGTTTGATGTTTCATTCTTTGACTATCAAGTACAACTTCAAAACTTCAGAACTTTGAAACAAAAAAATCCTTGTTTTCTTTAATATAAAGGAGCGTTACTTGGGAAGTGCTTGGAAATTCTAGGATAACTACCTACCTGGATTTACAGCTGATTGATAGTACTAATTTGTAGAGTTATTCAATTTAAGAATAACTTTACATCGAGCAATCTTTAGTTTTGATGGTACTTGGAGGCTTTTCTAATGATCTCAGGCTAGGTTTGACTGTCTTGCTCTCTGAAGTTAAATAGGTCTTGTTGTACCTATAAAATGTTGAAGCACTCAAAATATAAAGAGCTTTTACAGGTTACAATTATGGAGGGTGCACTAATTTGAAAACCGCCTACATATAAAATTTACTGTTAAAGCAGTTTTCCTCTTGACCAATAAATTCTATCTTATTTCTGAGGTGGTCAATTGAAGCTTATGTTTGCTTGGTTTAGCCTGAGTGATCACTTTTTTGGGTTGTGCTCTAGTCCTGTCATGAATCAGAAAAGCCAAGAAGTAATTTTACTTCATGTTACTCAAATCTGCCAAAGGAAAAAGGTTTTCTGGTTCATTTAATTGTAGTTCATGTTCTATTGAAAATGTATATGTCTAGCTGCTCAATTGAAATTTATTTTGTAATCCATTCTATGGTGTGTCTGTGTTTTCTTGGGTTGAATTAAATAGGCTGACGTGTATATATATACAAACTCCTATAGCTTATATGGCAAGTCGCTATTTTCTTGGAGGATTGACCTGTGATTGTGATATTAGACGTGTCTTAGATATGAAGGTTTGAGTACCATCATGATTTTGAAATACCAAGTCGCAGGTATAAAATTACAAATGTTGATAAGATACTTTGATGAACTCATAGTTGTTTCTACTAATTGTGGGATTTTTTCAGCGAACAAAGTTATATGGGCATGTGAGAATTCAGTTTGGAGTGGCTGTTGTGAGATGTAAGTTCTGGTGATAAGAGGTCTTGGCTTGAGAACTGACTGGTGAAAATAAGGAAAGAGGTTGTAAACTCTGTTGTTGGATATATTCTTGCAAGTTGGATGGTCATCCATAAACAATTGGGTATCTAAAAATGCTGAAATAGATTGGAGTTATAAGGAGGCACAAACCTTGTTTTTTCTATCACCATTACCAGTTTCTTATTTTCATGGTATAGGCTTATGTGGATTGAGCAAACTCTGGTTGTGCTCTATGTTGTAATACGAAAAGCCTTCTGTAGTGACTGCCTCCTACTTGCAGCGTAGTGACTGCTTCCTACTTTTAGCAAGGGGACAAGAGTCTTTTCAAATTGTAGTATGTGATTTTACCTAACAAGAACTCTAAATGTAATTCTACTAGTCAATTATTTGTTGGTTGGACTGTTTCCTGTAATCATTCTTTTCCATCTAACAATCAGTGAATTTAAATATTTGAAGGATTGTGATAGGAACCTCTCCCAGCTCAATCCAACCACAACAAGAACAGTGAACTGCAATCAAGATAAACCCAGCAAAAATATCATCAAACAGTAGCCCAAAACCCAGAAAATAACAGTCACTTGTATTGGCTGCGTTTTTTCCAGTTTTGGGAATACTACTTTTAGTATTTCCAAAAAAAGTTAAACAGTAAAATACCCAAAAACTCAGATTTTTAGGAATACTACTCCCAAGTCCCAATATTATTCAACTTTTTTTAAACCCCTTAAATTTGATAATTTAATTAAATACCCCTAAATATTTTTTTTTAAATTACAAAAACACCCCAATAATCCACATTTACCAGATTCCGGCCACCACCACCGGAAAATGATCTGAATCTGGTAGGATGGCGCACTACCGGCTGAATCTGGCCGGTAGTGCGCCGATCTAGCCTTTTCCGTCCAGATCCACGGTGGATCTGGCCGGAAAAGGCCAGATCTAAGGCCAAAGATCTAGCCGTTGACGACCAGATCTTTGGCCGTAACAGTCGGTCACGACAGCCAACAAACGGTTGTCGTTGACCATCAACGATGACCGTTTGTTGGCCGTCGTTGAGAGCAAATATGGCCAGATCTGGCCGTCCTGACCGTAGATCTGGCCTTTTCCGATTAGATCCACCGTGGATCTGGTCGGAAAAGGCCATAGCGACGCATGACCGGCAAGATCCAACCGGTCATGCACCCATACGGCGACTCCAGCCACCTCTGGTGGTGGTCGCCGACTGGGGGTGTTTGAGGGTGGGTTAGGGGTATTTTTGTTAACTTTTAATGTTTTATTATAGGGGGTATTTTATAAAAAAATAAACATAAAGGGTATTTTATTAATATATAAATTCTACATCGTAATACCCGCCCAATTCAATTTTTTTTTAATTTTTTTCAAAAAACTTTTCTCAAAACCCCCAAATTTTGAACCAAACGGAAGCCATTGATATTCTAACAAACAAACTACAGAGTCAAATGAACTAACAAAAACTATCAACTACACAATCAAAACTCAAACAAAAGAACCCAAGATAGTGTTGGACTTTGAGGGCCAGCTCCTCCCTATTTACTAGACTCTGAGCGCTAGTTCCTCCCCAATTTCTTCTCTGCCCTAGTCTGCTTTCTCTCTCTCTTTTTTTCCTCCAGCTCTCTCTCTCTCTCTCTCCCTAACTGAATTCATTTGCTGTCCCAACCCAGAATCGCCACCTGTCTCCGTGAAAACCCATGGAAATTTCCTGGTAGCTCCTTTCTATTTCCCACACCCTCATCATATGGGTCTCATCAGATTGCAACTTGCAAGTACCCTGGGATAGAAATTAAGAGTTTTAGCCTAGCAACTTCTAGAATGAGTCTGTCTGTCCTATAGAATGTTGTGTTATGTTAATAGGCATTTAAATGATGAAAAGTTTGAAAGTTTGAAGTTAAAGTGAAGGATTCTTCTTTCTTTCTTGTTTTTTTCTTAAAAGTGAAGGATTCTTATTTAAATTGTGCTTAGTGTTTTTTTCTTAAAGTGAAGGATTCTTCTTCTTCCTTCTTTATATTATGTGCTGTCATATCGTTGAAGAGAAATTGACAGCATGATCAAAAATTGGTTGAAGTCTCTATCCCTGTAGAACTTGTACAGAATTTTATTGGGTTCCATGTTTTGAAATTTTCCGAATCTCTCAAGCCAAGTTGTGAGCTCATTTTTACAAATACAAAAATTTGTTGTTTATCTTTCAGTATAATTCTGTATGATGTGCGATAGCTCCAAGTTGACAGCTAGGTGAAGGTGATTTCTCTATTCTATTTTCCTGCCTGCTAACTCAACTTTGCAAATCATAGCAATAAAATTTAACATCTTAAACAATTACGCTTGCACATTCTTATGGAAGCCAAATTCTGATGCTCAAAAGATACGAATCAATTATGGTGTAAATGTTCAATGTGCAGAATTTTCTTTTATGCAGATGCCAAACGGTTCCTCTCCTCCATTTTGACAACTACTTGGTGGGTATCTTCTAGCCTCAGTTCAATCCTCAAAGAGAGAGAAAAAATAATAACAATAGCAAATGACTATGGTTCAAGTTTTGTATGCAAGTTAATGTGAAATATAGGTAATACCATCCTCACTAACTTTTTTTTCACAAACACTACTTGATAGCTCACAATTAGTCAGTTTATAATGAGTTTTATCTCTCCAATAATGAATCATGTCTAACTAATTGTGAGCTATTATATCACGTTTGTGAAAAAAAGTTAACGAAAAAAGTTTATCAACCTATCTTTATTAGTAAAATATTTGGTGTAAGCCTTCTTTATGAGTGGAGCTATTGATACTTTATTAATATACTAAAAAAGCACCGTTTCTTAAGACACCCCATTTTAAAGTTTTAAATTTTTTTTAAAAATTTTTTACACCCCATAAATTATACAAGTGCCCTTCATTCCATTTTTTTTTTAATATATTTTAAAGAGTTAACATTTTATTCCTTTTAATTATGTGATATAGTCGCCATCATCTTTATTCTTAAAATAAAATTTTAGATAATTAAATTGAAAGTTTAGAAAAAAATTAAAGCTAAAAAAATTCTTAAAAAAATCCCAAAAACATAATACAGTTAAACAAACATAAAAAATATAGATTAAAAATAGATACCAATACTTTTAAGAAAAAATAACAATAAATTCATATTGAAGCTATTAAAAACTTAAAATTTTGTATCCAAATCCCAAATCTTCTCTCTAAACTTTTTGCTCGAAAATGATTTGAAAATAGCATAAAAAATTAGGGTTTATGAGATAATAGTGGGATGTCCAAAACATTTGTAAAGAATATAAAATTATAGTTGATTTTTATAATTTACTATAGGGACAAATTTGTCATTATAAAAATTTGAGGTTTTTTAATTAGTACATTAGTGCAGTGTCAATAGATCCGTTTTTATTTTATATATGTTAGATGTTCAGTGTGGAGTATTAATAAACCTATTTTTATTTTATATATTAGATATTCAATCTCATCTTTTCATCGCAAAATATAAATAAATGAAAAAAAAAATAAACTTTTTTAGTAATTTCTCAATGTGTATTGGGAAAATAAAAGTTAATTCCTAAGGTATAGGTTCAGTACCATTTTAATCTTATATAATATTTTAGTAACGTTTTAATCCTCATTAATCGTCGTTTTAATTATCTAATAAGTGGACAAAAGTCTTTTCATCAAAATTAGGGGGTCAAAATGTCTTTTTCTATATCTACTGTCCCAAAAAGTAAAGAAAGAATCTTCGGCTTCGTTTGGTTGGATTTTAGGAATACTACTTTTAGTATTCCCAAAAAAGTTAAACAGTACAATACCAAAAAACTCACAATATTATTCAACTTTATTCAATATTTTTTAAACCCCCTAAATTTGTTAATTCAATTAAATACCCCTAAATATTTTTAATATTTTTGTTACGGCGACTCCGGCCACCCTCCGGCGGTGGTGGCCGGTTGTCCGTATTTGAGGGGTGGATTGGGGGTATTTTTATTAACTTTTAATGTTTTATTATAAGGGGTGTTTTATAAAAAAACAAACATAGGGGGTATTTACAATTTGTAAATCTTACATCGTAATACCCGTTCAATTCAACACATTTTTTAACTTTTTTCAAAAAACTTTTCTCAAAAACACAAAATTGTGAACCAAACAGAGCCTTAAGGTTTCAAATTTGCTGATATGTTCTTGAACGGTTGAACCAATACAAAATAAGCAAAGGGTCCCCACCCTTATAGTTTCGAGGGTTGCCACAAGATTTATGATATTCACACATTCTTTCAGTATTTTGGTGCCACGAATTGGTCCTTACTCATAAAGTTTTGACACTCGTATTTTTACTTTGTTAGATTCTATACGTGTTTTTGATATGTAATGACGTAGAGTTGTATTTCATTATCGAATAATATTATTCTGTTTATCTATCATTGGGCTATGATCCAATAGTTTGGAACGAGAATTATGGTTATGATACAACCATATAAAATTGTAGTATTATAAATTTAATAAAGATTAACTCACAATCAAATCTTACAAATTTTTTTTTTCACAAACTCAATGTGATAACTTATAATTGTGCTCATGGGATCCATAACAGACAGGCAAAACCCATTTATGAGTTGAATAATTATGAACTGTTACGTCGAAAGTTATAAAAAAAAATACGTGAGATTTGGGTTATAAATGTAATATTACCCTTATAAATTTTATGTTTTAGTTTACAAGTTTCATGCCAGAATATTAATATGATAATGTAGTGTAATGAAACCCTGTAAAAAGATATACATAACCCTGTAAAAATCAAAGTCCAAGATGATAATTGTATTGCAAATCTTATCATATAATTGAACAAGGTCCGTTAAATTAATAATCCCAACAAAGTTTTGTGTGATGAATTAAAGATTTTGAAGGTTAAATGAAAAAGAAATATAAAGTGGAAAGACTAGAGATATTATCTTCATCCTCAGGCTTACAGTCACATGACAAAATATACGTAATATGTATGTATTTGCTACAACATATGAACTCTTCTTTTCTTAAGGCCACCAGTTCCCACGTCCATTCTCTCTCTCTCTCTCTCAGCTCTTAAGGCCACCAGTTCCATAAGTGTATCTTTATCTTAAACCCTTGAATTACATCTCATATTTTGCATATCAACATCTTTTCGTTTCTTCAGTCCATCAGTTTCCCATAACCCGTATCTTTATCTTCATTTTGATTCCTTGTTAATTGATTCTTTCTCTCTCTGTTCTCCCATTAACCACTCGTCTTCTTTACTCTCACATACTGTAACTGTCCTCCTCTTCTCTCTCTTTTCTCAAGTAGTTTTAGTTTCTCTCTTACGCTTACGTTATCTTCCTTTCCACATCACATAAAATATATACGTACCTTCAGCATCTCTCTCCCCCCTGCCACCTATTTTTATTTTCTTTCTTGAATCCTTATCTTCCTTCATTCTCATTCCTCCTTTTCCTCCGTACTAATTCTCCTTATCCCCTTGTATATAAAGACCCTATGTCTCAGTCGTTGAATATTATTTTATCAAAGATATATATGCTCACTTTCTTTGCTATCTCTCTGTCCTCTCTCTTCATCACTACAGAGAAAGATAGTATATTTATTAACACAGGAGTCTCAAGATCTTCATCAGCTTGGGATTTCTAACCTGTTTTACAGTTGAGTTGTGTTTATTTCAAGAGTGATCAGCCAAAGGGCATGCAGTAATATATGCCAAAATGGCCGCAACCCAAAATGAAGTTCATTTCTGTGACATACCCGATGCCATTCTCTCAAATATATTTTCCTTAGTTTCTGATACCCGTACTCGCAATGCCATGTCTCTTGTGTGCCGTAAATGGTGCAAACTAGAACGATCAACTCGCAAATCCCTCGTTCTCCGTGGCAATATTCGTGATCTCTACCTTGTCCCTGTCTGCTTTAAAGCTATCACCAATCTTGACCTCTCTTTGCTCTCCCCTTGGGGATACCCTCTTTTAGACGTCTCCAATCAACCACTTCTCCTTGCCAAAATCCTCGGTAATTCCTTTCCATCAGTCGTTTCTCTAACCGTCTATGTCCGAAACCCTCCAATCCTTCATTTACTTGTTCCTCAATGGCCTAATTTAACTCATGTTAAACTTGTTCGCTATCATCAGCGGTTTAATGCTCCTCTAGGTTCTGACTTTCTTGCATTGTTTGAGCATTGTCATTCACTTGCTTCACTTGATCTCGCTCATTTTTACTGCTGGACGGAAGATGTACCGCCAGTACTTGAAGCATACCCCACCATTGCAGCTTCTCTTTCTCATCTTAACATCCTCTCTCTTTCTGAGGGATTTAAGTCCAATCAACTTCTAGACATCACTGGTGCTTGTCCTAATCTCCGTGAATTGCTTGCTACATGTATATTTGATCATAGATTCATTGGCTTTATTGGCGATGAAACTTTGATTTCTATTGCTTCAAATTGTCCCCGTCTTTCCCTTCTTCACCTTGTTGATACCACATCCTCATCTAATACCGGGGCTGATCGTGACGATGACGGCTATGCACTTGAAGATGCTATGATCCGCCATACGGCACTTGGAGACTTCTTTACAGGTCTTCCATTGCTTGAAGAGGTAGTTCTTGACGTTTGTAACGATGTTGGAAACACTTGGCCCGCCCAGGAATTGCTTAATTCCAAGTGTCCACGGCTTAAGTCTTTGAAGCTGGGACACTTCCATGGAATCTGTAAAGCTTTAGATTGCTGGCCGGATGGGGTTGCTCTTTGCAGAAGGCTGGAATCCTTGTCAATCAAGAACTGTGCTGATTTAACCGATTCTGGATTGATTGATATTTCTCTTGGCTGTTCTAAACTCACTAAGTTTGAGGTTCAAGGTTGCAACAGGATCACAGAAATAGGAATGTGGAACTTTTCTCACATTCTTCGGAGAACTTTGATTGATGTGAAAATATCTTTCTGCAAAAATCTCAGTGCTGTTTCCTCATTGAAGGCTTTGGAACCAATTCAAGACCAGATACAACGATTACACATAGATTGTGTGTGGGAAAGTGTTAACCAACCAGAAGGAGAAGCGAGCACCTCAAGCAAATTACCTGCCGAATTCAAGAATTTCCAAACAGAAAAACGAAGCATCATATCGGAAGAAACAAGCTCGAATAAGAAATCCAAACATTCCGATAGAAATGGTAATGATTTCTGTTCTAAAAATTGGGCCAATCTGCAACATCTTTCGCTTTGGATTGCTGTTGGTCAGCTGCTGATCCCATTACCTTTAGCAGGACTACAAGAATGTCCTATGCTCGAAGAGGTTCATATAAAAATTGCAGGTGATTGTAGGTATCAACCTAGACCTTCAATGCCTGCATTTGGATTAAGCTCTCTTGTTTGCTATCCTCAACTTTCAAAGATGAAATTAGACTGTGCTGATGCCATAGGGTTTGCACTTACAGCTCCCGTAGGGCATGCAGATTTGAGCTTGTGGGAGCGATTTTACTTGAATGGGATTGATGGTTTGAATCTCAAGGAGCTCAACTATTGGCCTCCACAAGATATAGATGTCAATCAGAGAACCCTTTCTCTTCCCGCTGCAGGATTGCTTGCACAATGTCGAAATCTTCGAACACTTATCATCCATGGGACGGCCAATGAACACTTCATGATGTTCTTTCTCAAAATACCAACTCTCAGAGATGTACAACTCAGAGAAGATTACTATCCTGCACCAGAGGATGATACCACCACAGAGATGAGAGTATATTCGTGTTCTCGATTTGAGGATGCGCTCAACAGGCGTCAAATTCCTGACTAAAATTTTCAACTTATAGCTTACTTAGCTTATGTTGAATTACTTTCTGCTTAATAAAGGGTGTAATGAACGTAGAATAAGTAAAAAAATTGGATTCCATACGTCTGGGAAAATACTCTGTATTAAAAACACAATTCTGATATAAGCTTTTAAAGTCAATCCAAAATCTAGGAATTGAAGTTTGCAATAGAATCTCCCACAGGTGGTTGTATATATAGGTTTCAACCATTAAATTTGGAATAAGAATCAATGGTATATGAGCGTGTTATTGTTTTTAGAATGTTCTTTGATGAATGACTGGAGCATCCATTGGTTTTGAAAGCATTTTAATTATAATGTACAGAAATTTAAGTTACAGTCTCAGCACTATAGTACTACTAATTTGGTTTAAAGCTTATACATTAAGCAATAAATTTCTCCAAATTACTAAGCTTACACATCAAATTGACTTGTGATTTCTAGTTGATGTTGCTGTATTCATATTCAAACAAAACTGGGATTATTGGTGCATCAAGATTAGGTTTCATGTATAAATATATTTTAGATTTTAATTCAACAAATTCACCTTTAATGATTATATTAATTGTCTAACGTTACCGGGAAGAACATTCTCTAACCGGATCGAAGTCCTGAAATTTCATGGTTAAAGCATTGTTTTGGAAAGATAGAATTATTGCCAAGGAACAACGAAGAAAATAGATAGAATTCAAACATTCAATAACCAATAGAGCAACCAGGGCTATTCTTCATTGTATATATGCACAAAAAAAACAAAACAAAACATTAAAGAAAAAGCTCCTCATTCTCATTCCAACTTCCATAACCTTGTAAAGCTATATGAATAATCAAAGTTTAAAATGTGAAAATTTCACCATCAAATTGAAAATAAATACAAAATAACTATGTTTTTTGTCGAAAAAATTAATTAAAAAATATTAGTCAATATTAAGAATTAAAGATAGACAATTATTAATCTTCATCCAAAGTATTTAGTACAATAAACTAAAGCATTAATACAAACATAAAATAAACCAAAACGGTTTTCTAATGAATGGTAATTAGAGGTATTAAATATCATTAATTACCTTAGTAAACCTTAATGAATTGTAAAATATATACATATTTAATAATATTAGTACTATGGTCAACATTAATATCCACTAACTTAATGTCATTTCATCAAGATATAAAGTACTAAAAATTCATTCAATTGGTAACATGTTATAAATATAAAGTTAAAGTCATAAAGTGTTGATAGATACTAGATGTCTTTATTTCCCTGTGTTTAAATCATATTTCCTCTCTCATTTATTGTATATTTTTTTAATGAAAAATGAAGCCTCAATTTATAGTTTATTGACAATTACAATTATCAAATACATACAATTAATATAACAAACTCCCATTTAAAACCAAAAAAAAAAAAAAATCATTCAATAATACACAAAATCTAAACTTTGCATCATCAACTATCTCTAAACACATCAAAATCAAAACTTCACCTCATCCTACATCTCCAACCACGTCACAATGATAAAAAATATAAAATCAAAATCCAAAATTTATAGGTCTAGAACCCAAGCAAACCTAAAATATGACAAAGAAATCATGGTGACTAACCAATGGCCTTGTAGTGTCCTTGCTGTAGTGTAAGCTGCATCAACCATTGCCCAGGCAACTGCCGCGAAAGCCTAGCATTGGCTGCGCGGCTGCCGCGATGGCTTGGCCTTGCCTCGCGGCCAACAACATTGGCCATTATCTGGATGGTCAAGTTTAAACGGTTGAAATTTAAAATAGAGTGGAACGTTAATAGTTTCAAAACTTGGATGGAAAGAGTTGATTCGTCAAACCTTAGGTGGGAAAATGCGTTTGGCCCAAAATGGGGTATCAGGCTATGTGATATAAAGTTTAGACCCAGAGCATTTTTTTTTTTTTTTTTTTTTGATAGTCTAGTTTCAACGTATAAGAGCCACTGGACTTCTGGGTTTGTCCTAACTTTTTTAATTGATGGATGCTGCTGTCTTCACTCCTAAATTATAATATAAAGTTTTTTTTGGTAAGTCACGTACAGAAATAGGATAACCTAAACAGTGGTTTATACTTTATATTGATAGTCTAGTTTCAAAGTATGATGAAGAGACTTTATTGAAGAATCTGTTAAAGAAATAAATAAGAACGTGTTCATTTGAAAGCCACACAAACTGATGGTGTAAATTGATGACAACAAAACTACAAAATTTTGCTCCCTCGGACACTCTATTACACGTACCCCAATGCTTTGCCACGTTCTTTGCTTATTTGGGCAACCCTACTTCTTTAGTATTGAATTATATAGATTACATAAAGGATATGTTTTTCATTTGTATAATATTTGATATCTTTGGAAGATTTATTAAACAAATTGAAATGGTTGATGAGATAATCATGCATGACTGTCACACTAGTTTGTATTAAATTAATTTTTATAATATTATGCAATATCTAAAAAGAGATGTTGATTTTATTTAATAGCAACAATGTCATTATTACTATACTATATAGAAACGGTTTTTTTCCCACCCAAGGTTTGCCTAAATGACATTTCTTGCCCAAAAAATTTCAAAATACCATTTTTTACCCAAAGTTTGTATTCCGATAATATCCAAAATACATTTCACTTTCTTAGTCGGGCGTTCGATGAGTTATTAGGAGCCAAGATAAGAGAGATTTTGTAGAGTGGAGGCCTATAGATCTAATGGTAGTGACCAATTGAATATTTGCCATCTGGATCAGTCAAAAATCAACTAAGAACAGAAAACCCTAGTTTTACGATAACCGACAATTAGCAAGAAATCAGGTATCAGAGTGAGATGAGTTTTGTAGAGAAGAGACAGAAGACTCAATTGAATATTCGAAGAGAATTTTTGTTGTTGGCAACAGTTGGAATTGACTTTGGGGACATTAACGGACTATAAACTTTGGGTGGGAAAGTGATATTTTTAAACTTTTTGGGTGGGAAAGCGTCATTAAGGCAAACCTTGGGTGGGAACAGTTGTTTACTCTTTTATATCTAATAAAATTCTTAGATATAACACTAATAAATAAAGATTCACTTTTATTTCCTTTTTATAAGGAAAGGTTCTGAGATACTTGCGCAAACTGATCCGGCAAACGCCTTGTGAAATTAAGTCTAAATTTTATCATACACATATGAGAATTTAGAAAATAGAAAGTTTATGTCCAGGATGTCCATGAGGGAGAAGAAATATACATTCATCTCTATAGTTTTTCCGAATAAGAAGTGAAAACTTTGCCTTTTTTGTTTGGGTAAACTCGATAATTGTATAAAGAATAAAGAATAATATACAGAATCCAAACTCTTGGATAGGGCCAAGAGATGATCTGTACAAACAAAAAACAAAAGGAAAGAACCCCAATCCTAATTCCCAAAAGCAGCCTGACAGGCACCAAAAAACATTTGCTTGAGTCACCAACTCTAGGGGAGAACAAAAAAGCACAAGCAAAGGAGAATAAAATAAAACACAAGCTGAAGGGCAACCAACAACGGCAAGCCAAATCAGATATTTAAGAATAGCCAGCAAAGAACAAGAGGCAGCCCACCATCATAACCATATCTATCAGAAAAATCTTAATCCAGTCATCAGCTATATCCCCTTTAAACCTCAACAACCTAGTGTTCCCAAACCACCAATCTTCAGAAAATCTGAAGAAGCACAGCCAACAAGGAAACATTATAAACCTGCAAGTAAAAATCTGATATATAAACATAAGAGATTCAAAATGGATAAGTAAAATTAAGAGCATCAAGTAACCCAAAAAAAACATAAAGGCCATAGTAGTTAGCCAAAGTGTCAAGCATCAGCCCACTAAAGATCTGAAGGCTCTCATAAAATATCGACTTTATAGCATTGGCAATCTTCAATGTTATCACCAGCTTAAGCATGACGCAAAAGTCACCTCTTGTACAATCTGCCTATTTCTTTCAAAAATGCATCTGCAAATCAGTGAGACCTATGAACTATTTCATAAACACATTCCTTGGGAAGATTTGATTCCTCCACCACTCTCTAGATTCTTCCCGTATTTTTAAAATGCAAGCTGCACAATCGAAGTCTAACAACCTCTATGACTTGTCGCTTCACTAACTCAAGGCTCTTGGCTTTTCCTTGAAAAAGGCGTAGATTCCTCTCTTTCCATACTAAGTACACTGTCGCCACAAGCAGAAACTGACTTATAATAGCTCTAATGTTTCTCCTTTTGAAATTGTTTGTAGACCAAGTGATAATATTGTCCCAACTAGTCACCGGAGTGAAAAAATTACCTTTGGTCCGGGCATTCCTCCAAATGACCTGGGAGAACGGCACTCGAAAAACAGATGGTTATGGGAATCCATGACATTGCCACATAATACGCCAGCAAGATCCTCATATCTACTCCAAGTTTGCATCCGGTCCTCAGTCAATAATTTCTTTCTGATGGCAAGCCATAGAATAAAAGAGTGATGTGGGATACAAGTACTATTCTATACAATAAAACACCAGGGCCCCGCAATATTCCTTGTTGACAAATCCCTCCATGTTTGGCATGAGGAGCATCTAGTTTTTCTTCCATCCGCGGTCTTCCAAAAGATTTTATCAGACCATAAGGGCCCCGAAATAGAAGGGACTTGGTCCACAATAAGAGGGAATCTTTCCCTAAAAAAATCAGGCCATCTCCATTGCCCTACTCTGACGTGGCCCTATGGCCCAGTCCTGACTCATAAAATATCTGTTGTGATTTGATCCAATTAACTATCAAGAACAGTTCTTGCAAACAAATCAAAGCAAACACACAAACAACACACAAGAATTACCGTGGTTCACCTATTCAAGAGTGAATAGGGTACGTCCACGTTGAGCTCCGCAATTGATAGGGCTCTCTGCACTAATCGATTCAAATATCCATATTACAACTCAATCAAGACTCAATCTCTTTACACAAGCCCAAATCACTCTTCTCAAGAC